TGTTCGACCTGGAAACTCACCAGATAAAAAGTATAAACAATTATGATAAATGATTCAGGGTCTACAACTACAAACTTTTCTTTATATATGATCGCTCACAATAGTCCATTACACCTTATTTTTCGACCAAAATTCCCTGTACTTGAATATATAAAATCGTTCTATGTCAACTATTCTGCTTCAGTTTCCAATGTGGTTGACACACCTTCATCCTATGCTCAAGCCAAAGTTCATGCTCATTGGGTTCATTCTATGAACGATGAGTTAGAGGCTTTGGAGAAGAACCACACTTGGACTCTCACCTCGCTTCCATCAAATAAAATAGCTATTGATTATAAATGGGTGTTTATAACAAAATGTAACTCCGATGGTACTGTTAATCGCTTCAAATCTCTTCTAGTTGCCAAGGGGTATCATCAAGTCTATGGGGTTGATTACAGTGAGTCTTTTGCCCCCGTTGCTAAACATGTTACCATTCGGTTGCTTGTTGTTGTGGTTGCTTCATCTAATTGGACACTTGCCCAATTAGATATCAATAATGCATTCTTGCATGGGTCTCTTGAAGAGAAATTATATGCTTCCACCACCCGGATATGTCAAGGCTTCTCCCAGCTTTGTATGTAAGCTAAATCGATCTCTTTATGGCCTCAAGCAGGCTCCCTGTATTGGGTGTTGATCCGATATGGGTTTTCGAGACTATTATCTTGAGGGAGGAGTGTTGAACATTGTCTCATATTGGTATGTGGAAACTCCCCTACTATATAAGAGTGAATGGTCACTCTACTTATCACCAATTGGTTTTAGGTTAGAAGCCCGAATCCCTTCTTAACAATATGTCGAATGTCGTGAAAATTTTTAGCCAACATATTTCAAAATTTCCAACAATTTGTTTAATATTGTAGTTGATAAGGTCTTAATTGCTAAATCTACACCGTCGGTAAGTTTATTTTTAAATGTAAATCTCTTTAAAAACTTTTTTTACAGATTATTAATAAAGAAAAAATTATGGCTGTAAAATATATTTTGCTATATCTTTTTAAAAATATTCTTATGTTAATTGAGCAGTATAAATTGCATTACTTTATGTTATTATCAAAATTGCCACCGACAGTCTACTTGGAAAGACCAGTCAAATTTGATTTGTTTGAAGAATTATCCAACTTCTTCAAAAAAATCCATAATGTCTTGCAGATCTTGTGAGTAACGCGACGATAAGATAGAAAATCAAATTGAAAAGGTAAAATAAATGCTAGGAATTGAAGAACAATGTTGTAATCTATTTAAAATTGCAGAAAAATGTAACAAAGCAAGAGAAAAAATAAAGTATTGAAGAAAATTAAAAGAAAAATTATGTTGAAAAAAAATAATATCGGTCAATTTTATTGAATATGAATCATGTGGATGTGGATCCACCATCTGAAGTCTTCGTTTTTGGATTATGTAAACAAAAAGTTCACATTCTAGTCTTATTTTTTGATAGATTTTTCTTTTATTATTGAACCTTCTCCATGAGTATACAATCTTCCAACTTTTTTTAAAAAAATAAATCTTTTCTCATTTTCATTTCTCTCTAAAAATCTCACCTCTCGCATTCCTTGCGTATAGGTTTTTCACATTTCTAACTCTTTTATATCAAAAACTTTATCTTCTTCCATCAAAACAGCCCTTTACGTCACTTTTCTGATCGAGTCCACACTTGGACTTGCTCTTGTGGGCTGCTGCAAGGTTGGGTTAGTCCGAAAAGGTGAAAAGATCTACTTATTTTGAACTTTTGATTGTAAGATCTTTGTTGGATCAATCGTGAATCTAAATTTTTTCTTTTTAATGGATTATTGTTTGAGTATTTTTATTTTCAAATTGAAATTTATTGAAAAACAAATAGAGATCATATATTCCTAATGAAAGAAAATTTAATTTAATTTCAATATCATTTAATAAGAAATGAATCAAGTCTAAGGGTGTGTCTGTATTTTGTGTGGATTTCAATGTTTTATAAACATTTTAATTTGAATAATTATTTGATCGATACAATAGTTGGTATAATATTTAAAATGTAAAATTAAATTTTAATATTATATTAAAATAAAAAATTAAGTATTTAATTTAATATTTTTAAAATTAATATATATATGAATAGTAAAAATTTGATGAAATATTTCAAACAAATTTTTTTGTCTCACCTCATTTACTAACTTATTTATTTTCTTACACCCTTACTTTTTATATTATTGAAGTAATATATCCATTAAAATTTGTGTCTAAAATAATATGAACACCTATTTTGTAGACAATGAGAAAAACGTTCAAAATTACATTTGAATTTAATTTAACTTTATTAGAAATATAAGTTTAACTCTGCCACTATCTTATTGTCTACACCATTAATCACTAAATTTAGGTCTCATTTAGATTGTTTTTTAATAAAAAATAAATTATACTCTCCGCGTCTCATTTTAAAAGGTCCATTTGGGATTTTGCAGTAAATTTAAAAATAATACTATCTTTGTGTGTTATAAAGTAAACATTTATTTTTCTTGCAGAATTTAATAAAATTGTAATAAATAATTAAAAATAGTATAATTACATTTTTGTCTTTGTTTTTTTTTGTATAAAAATAATAATGTGATGTAAAGTAGAAATATTTGTTGAAAAAATAGGGTATTTAATAAAATGGTTACTTTGTAATTAGACAACCTAAAATAGAAATATATATACGTGGATGGACCGAAGGAGTAGTATGTTATTGTTAGTGGAAGTGTGAAAGAGATTTTGACATTTTTGCACTTTAACTTTATATATAAAGTAATTGTATGTGTAATGGTATATTTGTAATTTAATTAAAAATTAAATGTATTTTGGTATTGGTGTATTATAACTTTTACTAAAATAAAAAAGATACTTTAAAGATAGAAGAAAATGGTAAAAAAATACTTTGAGTTGGAACAGATGGAGTATATATTATACTCCCTTCTTCGTCCTGCTCTAAATATCACATTTATTTTTTATGTGTTGATCTTTAAGTATTAATTATTATATCAAAATATAGTATAACTCAAGAAAAAATGACAAAAAATATTTCAATTAGTGTTTTATAATACTAATATAATCACAGTTGTACTAAAAATTATAGAAATATAAAAATATTTTTAATGTTAAGTACAATTACAGAAAAAGTCAATGTAATCGTAGAGGCGGACGAAATGAGTACTTATTTGTATTTTTTTTTTTTGTTGAAAATTATAAATAATATTTTCTAACTCAAAAAGTATATTTTTAGATACACCTTTAGAATAGCTTAAAAAATATATACTCCGTCCGTCCATTTTGAAAGGGGTCATTTGAGGTTTTGTAATAAATTAAGAAATAAATATTATTTTATTAGTTAGTGAGTGTTTGTAAGAAATTTTAACATTTTTGTCATATGACTTTTTGTTTAAAGTAATTGTATATGTAATGATATATTTGTAATTTAAGTAAAAGTTAAGGGTATCTATAGATATGCTCCTAATTGGATAGAGCAGGCTAGATTAGCCGAAAGATGATTATCGGTTCAAGAACGTGACATAAAGGGAGAGGTCATAAGCGTCTATACCGTCAAATCGATTTTTGACGGAATGAACACTTCATATATAAGGCATAGGCCGTCGACTTAGCATAATCTAGCCTGCTCTGTCCCTCGGGACCAACAAGGGGCAGTGGTTCTGTCTTGAAGAGTAACACATGTATAGGACCAATTGAGGTATTGGTCATGGTCTAAAAGACATTTTAGAAAGCCAAGAAGCATAAATATCTTCATATACCAAACGTGTATTAATGTATGATTATTTTTTAAAAAATTGAAAAGAGATACTTTGATATGAGTCATACGAAAATAGTAAAAAATATATTTTTTTTAAATTAGGACAGAAGAAGAAATACTATATATATAAATACTTTTATAGTTAAAATTACTATTTTATCAATAATAATAATAATAAATAATACTGTAACATAAAAAATAAATAATAGTATATCAAAATTAAATGATACTCTCTCCGTTTCAAAATTATAGTCCCTTTTTGCATTTTTGTCCGTCCCAAAACAATAGTCTCATTTTCTTTTAACAAGCTTCCCATTTTTCTACAAAATTATCCCAACTTTTTCACAATAATTATATAAAATAAAGACATTTTAGTCTTTTAAGAATATTTTTACATTCACTATCAATATAATACTATTATTCCTTAATTTTCGTGTGTCAATCACAAATGTCTGTTATTTTGGGGCGGAGAGTACAAAAATTTAATTATACAACTAATTCAAAAAAATTTAAATAAATTATAAAATACAATTAATTTATATATTAAACAATATATATTTCTAATTATATCAGATAATTCAAAATTTAAAATATAACATAAAAACTATTAGGAAACGCATTTACATCAACATAAGTTCTAAAAATATTTAAAAAAAAAAAAAAAACTTTCAATTTTATTACCTTTAAAGACTATTTTCTTATTAAAAATAATAATAATAATTATTATTATTATTATTGTTATTATTTAAACATAGAATTAAACCCGCTCTTATTTTCTACTTTTAAAAAAATCATTTCGGACTTTAATCCATTTATTTTTAAAAAATTTAAATATATATATTAAATGGTGGTCTTGCAATTTCATATTTTATGAAACTGAAACCAAACTTGAACAAATCCTGTTTCGATCATCTAAACCTAAACCCCAAAAAGGCACTCTTTAGTTTCAGTTTCAAACCAATATCAAATCATCTATCAATATTCAGCCCACACAACTTACCAATAATAATAATTCTATCTTCAGAATCTTCTTTCTTTCCAATCATAACATAAAAAATATTATTTAAACTAGTATAAAAAAACAAACCAGCCAGGCCACCAAAAATATCTAAAGCTAAAACCCCAAAATGGATTAAGTTTGGACAAAATCTAATAAGGAGATTCTTGGTTTGAAAAATGAGAATCCTTCAAGATCATCATCATCATCATCAAATGCATAATAATATATATCTAAGATGAACTAAACATACAAACGCTGAGTATGATGATACACATTGCAGTTGCAGGCAGGCAAAATATGATGATACCCAACCCAGCAACAGCAACAGTGTGTGTAGTAAGTCATAACCTCACAGACTCATACTCTACTGCATATCCTATCAATCAGCCGACATGCATTGCATTGCATTTGCATTTTTATTCTACAGGAAACTAACAGGAGGGGATTGATTCTATGATCATGATCCAATATAAACAAAACCAGATACGATATATATATATATATATATATGTTTTGCGCATATGTAATGTAATAAATACTAGGAAGCTGTTCTCAGCAAATTGATCTAACCTTGTCGCTGATTGCTTCGAGTTTCTCCACAACATATTTCATTTCTTCCTTCAGATCGGAACTGTCTTCCAGTGACAATTTGGATTGATGATTTTCCAGAAGAGTTTTCATCATCTCAGCTTTTTGCTTGATAACACACGCATCAGAAATTAAGTCATCCACCTGGTTGTCACGAGCCCGTTTTCTCCCAGACTTTGATCTAGTTGAGGGCTGCAGCAACCTGCAAGTAACATTCCCAAAACCAAATGGACACTCACTCATCGATGATTTGAAGGCTACCTCTGCATCCGATTGCTTTTTATAGAACATATGGACGGCATGTGTCTCGGTAAGAATCTCTACATCCTTCCTACGCAGGCTCCCAAACTTGCCAAACAGCTTTACAATATCTTCCTTTGAAGGCAAAGGAAAATCAGGGGCAAATTCCATGATAAAGCACGGCAAAGTTTCACTATGTACTTTCTTTGTATTACTTTTTGCAGCACAAGTTTCAGCAGGTTTCTTGGACTTAGAGGCATCTGACGGTTCTTCAGTCGGTTTCTTGGACTTAGATATGTCTGACAGTTCTTTAGTCTTCGATTGATGGGCTGCGTTCTGATCTGGTGGATTTACCTTTTTCTGGGTGCTGCCATTTCCCAGCTGGGAAATCCCTGATTTTCTCTTCCCTCTGCTTTGACATTTCCTATAAATCTTATAGTTCGGTCCATGCAAATACATTGAGCTTCTGAGTGCATAAATAAATGCCCAGACAGTGTCGAGTGAACCTTCCTGGCTCAAGTAAAAGGGATCGACTGCTGCAAGCCGTGTCTTTAACAACAGCTGACTAACTGAGGAGCAAACATCAGATACAGAAGACGACACATTCTGATCATCCTTGATTGTTCGACGCTTTGCATCACTAGATATGTTTGAGCTTTCCAGTTGCACATTCGGCTGCTTTTCAACTGGTGCCTCATCAGCAGATTCTGAAACAGAGTCAGGTGTAGATTGTTCTTCAATGGGCTGTGCCGTTTCCCCTTCCGTCTGAGTCTTCTTATCATGCTCAACTTGTAGACCTGTCCTGAAGCTCAAATTTCCCACTCTCCATGTAGGACTTGTGTAAGGGGGAGACAAGTATTTGCTCTTCTTCCTCTCTCTAGGCGTTGACACAATTTCTGATTCCTCTTTGGATTCTTCCAAAGGAATCTTAATATTGGGAACTATAACATTCTTGGCTTTTCTGGACGAAGGGGCTTTGTTTGCACCATTTTTTTCTACATCTAAAACCCTTTTATCTGTTATTTTAGGTGACTCATTATCCTCAACCTTTTTCTTCTTACCCATATTCCTTGTTGATGATGCACCTAGATTGCTAGCTTCGTCTCCTCTCTCATTGTTACTCTTCTTCCTCTTTCGGGAGGATGCCGGCTTCTCCACTGCATTCTTGTTATCGCCCATAAGTTCAGCCACACTTTTGCGCTTCCTTTTGTGAAAAACCTTATTCCCCGATGCATTCGGCGAGTTTACAGTACCAGCTGAGGGTGAAGAGTGCCAGTCATCATCCTTCGGACCAACGATTGGGACCGCGACTGGAACATTGAAATCTTTTGAAACCTCATCCACATCATCATCAAGGTCTTCCAGACCTTCAACAGAAAGCGGTTCTTGATATGATGTCAACTGATAACCACCTTTTAAATAATAAAAAGTCGATAAACAACTTTTCAGGACCGCAAGGTCTACAGGATTGCCAACAACAACAGTCCTTGCAAACTGCCTCACTTTTCCATGTATTTCCTTCGATTCATATTTAGGTATGGTAAGCCGATTTGAGGCTACTTCTGGCACAAGAACTCCTGCTTTAACACCTGCATTTTCCACCATCGGCCTAGCAAGGCCATCCTTTTTCTCCTTGGCCACACATTTACAAGACATCTCCGACTCCACAAGCCTACCAACCTCATCAATGGCACTCTGTACAGCATTGAGAAAACCTCTAGAATTACTTTTTCTCGACATCCCTGCAAAATTCTCCACAAAGGGTACCAACTGCGATGGCAAGCACCAAGACCAGGAACCATCCCCGAAGAAGGCCACCAGGAGACGGCCTTTTTGTTTACTTTTCAAAGAAAATTCAGAAGCATCCTCTGGATCATAAACCTGCCCCGGCCACCATGGATGGCTTCTAATTTTAGCCCAAACCAAATCCCCCACACAAAACTGATTGTCTTCCTGATCCTGATCATCCTCTGGCGCAGCACCATCTCTCTCTCCATTCCCATCGTCATCCACATCACTGTCTCTCCCACCTCCATTTAAGTTTGTAGAATCAGCTCCCTCATTGTCTGCAAAAGAAGTCTCACCATCTTTTCCCTTTCCATCATTTTCAACAACACCGTTCACACCCTCACCCTCCTCAGCATCAGTCACACTTGATGAACCGTTTGCATAGCCTGAACAAATGCCAACATCCTTCATGGCAGTTTTTTTCTCTTTCTCTTTATCATTGTCACAATCGTTAGCAGACCGCACACCAGTTTCATCCTCGGCAACTGATTCGCCACCATCATCGCCAGTTTCCCCCAAACCCGAAACCCTAATCAGATTCACTTCCGATTTGGAACCCGACCCGCCCATTTTTGTGTCAGTATCCTTGGAAATATTTTCTGTCGCAGCGCCTGTATCCACACTCTCCATTAATACAGAAAAACGACAACGAAGGAAACAAAATCCCCAAGATTTCCTTGCTCCAAAACTAAACCTTTCAGAAATTTAAAGCTGCATAGAAACACCACAATAAAATTAAAACAAAACCACAACAAATTATCCTTTAAAAAAGTATAAACATCCAAACAGCAGCAGAAAAGTTAAATGCCACGAAGACACAAACGATTGTTCGTAAAAGCGTAAGAAGTTTTAGAAATGGAAAGATACCAACCACATTCAAACATAGAAAGTGCGAGCCAGGAGCAAAAATCAGAACAAGCAAAATCACCGCAAAACTACACAAGCGAGAACCTAACCTTCATCCATCACCAATTAATCCCGCGGCTCTCCCTTCTCCTACTTCATCCGCAGAGAAGCTTGACGAACAGAGCTTCATTCGAGTGTGAGCAGGAATTTAGGGTTTGAGAGCTGATTTCAGGCAAGTGAGCTGATATGTAACTCGCGACAGTACTTTTCGTATTTTGCTTTTTTCCCTAAAGAAAAACAAACAAACAAAGAATAAAGGCTGAACATGTGTTCACCGGGAATCATCGTATGGAAGTGGTGCAGAACACCAACTGATTCAAGACCACACGATGGAACCAACAAGGAAAACAATCAACGGCTGTTATACGATCTGAAAACGGTGATAAGGCAGAGTGCAGTGCACCGTATTCACTGGATTTGAAAGCTTTCATATACGCGATTGAAACACACTCGCGGTATTTCACGTGGTAAGTAATAAGCAGAACATACAAGAATCGTGGTAATCGGACTTGACGACTACTGACGGAATCTAACCCCAAGTGAAGCAAGTGACTGACGGTCGTCGTGACGGTAACGGAATAGGTTTTGGGCCAGTGGGCTGAGCCCAATAACTTATTTCTGGACCAAAAGTAATAGTTCGAAAAAATTTAACACTTGGGTATATTCACTCTCGCACCCAAAGTTTTGAATAATTATAGATGGTTCCGAAAACACCATTTATACTGTATATTGTATTAATTTTTTATATTAAAAATATATCGATATTATATCAAAACAATTCGATATAAAAAATTGTATCAAAATTTTGGTATATCGGATTGCTCTTACAATATCAATATATATAGTTTCATATTGAAATATTAAAATTAAAAACTATTTTATAATTTTATAAAAGTTAAAATAATAATTTTGATGTTAATATATTGAATTATGAAAACATACTAAAATACTGAATACCAAAAATATCAAAACGGCATACAATAATTTCGGTATAGATCGAAATATCAAAATATATCAAAAATTGTGTATATATATATATATATGAGCGGTTAATAACATAAAATTTTGTCTGATTTTCCTTTTTTACCTATCCACACACTACTTTGTGTATTTACATTTTTTATTTTCTATTATGCTACTACTGCTGCCAAATGGTGGAAATAGGTCAGGTGTGAGGAACTTAGGTGTGTTTAGTACAGAGAATTGACAGCAGACAAATGGAAATATTTTTATTTTTCTGTTTGTTTGAGTCAGAAAAATGGAAGTTGAGAAATAAATCATTTTTATTTTTCTATTTTCATTTCTCTCCTATATTTAGAGAAATGATGTTCCAGTATATATATTTTTATTTTTATTTTTTTGTAATATTTAATTTTTATAATTATTTATATTATATTATTTTAGTTTTATAAAAATTATTTTTAATTTATCATTTAAGTATTTAATTTTTTACAAAAATTTATACTAAAATATGATCTTACAAAACTTCGTATATAATTTATAATTTTTTGTTTTAAAAAAGTCACCATTAATATTTTTTTATGATTCTCACTTGTTAAAACTCTCTTTTAGATTAATCATTTATTCTTGTCCGATCCATTTTTTTTTTTATATATTTCTCAACTGAATTCTCTATTGTACCAAACAAAGATAGTTAATTCTCATTCTCTCTTCAATTTCCTTTCTCTTCAATTCCATTCTTTGTACCAAACGTCCGTTTACTGTTGAACCTGCATACGATATGGCTTGATCTACCATATTTATTAAAATGTTCAATTTAAGCTTATTTTAAATCTATTAAGGGTGGGTTCTTTTATGAGATACTTTAGGATTTTTATTATTCATTAAAAAAAAATTAAAAAAATATCAAATCAAATATTTATTTTTTATATTATAATAAAAATTAATTTACATTTAAAACATCACATCGATATCTATGTATATCACATCATGCTACTATTTCAATTCAAAAATTTTATTATTTAAATCTCAACTCAAAACAACCCTTAAACTAACACACCCTTGAAATTAATTAGAATAAGTTTAGACTTTATAAAAGTCTTTTAAGTCTATCAAGCAGACCTATTATATAATTTTAATTTAATATAAAAAAATATTATATTTTAAGTACATATAATTTAAAAGAAAATAAATTTAGTGCTAATACCTAAATAAGTTTTTTGATTTAACTATAATTATATGTGTATATATAAAAAAATAATTGTATTTATATTCTTTTACTAATATTAAATTTTTAAAAAAATAACTATTATATAGATTTTTAAATGAGCTTGTAGATCAGGTCAAGTTCTAAAACAGGTTAGACATGGGTGTTACTTAATTTTTCGTTTGAAGTTTAGGTCATAACTTCTCTAAATATATTTTTAGTTCTTTTATTCCTCCATCCACCACCGCCTCACGGTCCAACTTCACAATTATTCCAACATTTGAACAACCATTAGCATCGACGAAACCAACCTTAAAATTTAGGGGAGTAAAATATCAATTCACTTTTTTCTATTTAATATTATCTTTTTCGAATTTTTTCCAATACAACCGGATAAACAAGAAGAATGAAAAAGAATAACTACAATTTAAATTTTTAGAAAAATATTTAAGAAAATTTAATAAAATTCAATAATTTATCCTAAAAAAATAAAACCTAAATTTATAAATCAACAAATTACAAAAATTGTATTAGTTTTTACACTATAAAATAAAATAAATTATAAAATAGGGGGAACAAAATAATTAAAAATACATAATTTTAGACACTAACAAAATCCTGTATTTTGGGGCCGGCTGTCAACTGCCCTCTAACTCTTATGTAGTTATGTCTTTGCCATTATATATTCCATCACCATAAAAATAAACAACTTCGACCAGTTGGCCACTATCTCAGCGTCAAATTTTAAAATTATATGGTCCATTTCTTACTATACTTTTCATTTTTCCAAGAGTTATAGTACATTTGCTTTATTTTTGGGTAATTCATCTCCAATCATAATTTACACTATAGTAATTATCTTCGATCATTCTTCCAATTTTTAAAGTCAAAATATTTTCTATCTATATTGTATTATATATATTATTTTTTATAATTTTTAAAATATATAAATAATATCAAATATTTTATTATTTTTATATATTTACTTTATAAAATATTTTAAAATATTATATCGATCAATTAAATTTATAATTTTTTATTTTTTAATCATAAAAAAAATATTTTTTAAAATTAAATAAATTAAAATTTATAATATTTAAATAATATTTATGCAAAATAAACATAAAAATATATAATATCATTTGATTAAATATAATAAGTATAATATAAAAATTAATATTAATCAAAAAACTAAATATAAATATACAAAAATAAATTATTTTATATATAATAAAATAAATAAGAAAAAAATTTACATAAATTTAAATTAATTTTAAATTAAAACAAAATTAAAAAAAAAATAGATAAAGTCACCAACTTGAGTTAGAAAAAGTGTCCTCTCGCATGAGAGAAATTGTACTTCACCAAAAACACATGATGGGTTAAAAACAGTAGAACAAGGTAAAGCTGCAATTGAAGAAGAGGAAGAAACATACGGGAAAAAAAAAAGTACAAAAAGAAAGGAGTGAAGGAACAAAAAAAAAAGAAGAAAAGAGGAATTGAGGTTGGGAAGAGGTGAATATAGAGTTTGTTATGTTTTCTACATTTTTTTTTAAAAAAATAATAAATTAATTAAAGGTATGTATTTTTATTATTTTATATAATAATAGTATGTAATGATTTAATTATTTTTAATTATAATATATTTATAAATAATTATAAAATTATTATAAATATTACTCTCTCCGTCCCAGATAGCATGTTCACGTTGCCGTTTCTTTCCGTCCCACATACCATGTCATTTTTCTTTTTTGGAAAATGATTACACACTTTAATCTTATTTTAAATTTTTTATTTTTTTAAATTTTAATTAAACTAATTAGTTATCTTAATCTTAATTTATAATTATTTATATTATAGGATAATTATTTTTACTAATACATTCTTAATTATCTACTAATTATACATCTTCTAAAATACCGTATTTACAGTATAACAGACACGGTATCTAGGACAATGAGAGTAATATAATAAATAAAAATATTAATTATTCTTATTGTTCATCACTATCGTATATACTATATATTTATCGTCGAATTCGTTTCACCGTGTCGTAGCTCTGGCTTTCTTATTTTTTAAAAAAATTGTCGAAGGTGAGGCGCACCCTAAATAAAAAATTTAAAAATACGGCCTAGGATCTTTTAGTTTAATTACCAGTTTTATTTTCTTATAAAATTTTTTATGTAAGACCCACACTTAATAATAATTATTATAAATTATTTTACAATTAAAATAATAGGTCTAAATTAACTTTAACATTATTATAATATAATTTATTTGTTCGGAACTGGTGAAAAATATTTTTGTTTTTAAGTAGATTAAACGTTAATTGTATTTTATTAATTGGTGAAAATGTATAAAATAATTTTGGAATTTTTATACTTATAAGTACAAAGTATAAAATATTTTTGTAAAAATTAAGAGTATTTGAGAGAGTAAAAAAATAAATATTTTTAAGTGACAAATAATATATTTTTTTTAAGTGACATAAAAAAAAAAGTATAAATTTAGATATTTAGATGACAACGAAGTATATATTTGTTAATGTATTTTTTCAACAAACAAAAAGTAAAATTCAAAGATATGAAAAATATCTTTAAATTTGATTAATTAGTGCCTAAGATTAGGAATCTCTAAAAACTATACGGTACATAAGAAAATTAACTGGAAAAATAAAATGCTGGAAATTTAAAATGGTGATCCTCAAATTTGACTTTGCTTTGTTGAAGTTGATTGAAGATGCATTCTCCAGAAAAATCCAAATATTTAAATACTCTCTGAGAAATTGTACTGGAAACTGTCGCCCGAACGGTTACAACGTCTCATTTTCAACCGTCTGTCAACCCTTCTCCTGCTGACACGTGTCCTCAGCAGATCCAAATTATCACTCTATTTCATTCTTTGAGCCGACCACAGACCTTCCGCCCTTTTGGCCCGACTGCCAATTCTCCCGACTTGCAAACCATCCGACTTATTTGGTCCAGCCGCAAACCTCCCGACTAACAGACCATACGACTTATTGGTCCAGCCGCAAACCTCCCGACTAACAGACCATCCGATTTATTATTCCAGCCGCGAACCTCCCGACGGACAAACCATCCAACTTATTTGGTCCAGCCGCAAACCTCCCGACTGACAAACCACCCGACTTATTGATCCAGTCGCAGACCTCTCGACCTGAGGACCTCCCGACCTGCGGACTTTCCGTTCTGATGACTTCCCAACCTGAGGATCTCCCGACCTGAGGACTTTCCGTCCTGATGACTTCCCGACCTGAGGACTTCCCGACCTAAGGACTTCCCGGCTTGAGGACCTCCCGACCTGAGGACTTTCCGTCCTGATGACTTTCCGTCTTGAGGACTTCCCGACCTAAGGACTTTCCGACCTAAGGACCTACCAACCTGCATTTTCCTTATAAATAAACCAATTTTCCTTGAGTTCCCCGCGGTACCCTTCAATCAGTTCGATCAACTCTATTGCCAGGCCCATTTTTCTTGTATCTTGGGTTTTTTAACCTAATTCTAAATTTCATACGTAATAACTTGCCCGCTGCCAAGGGACTTTCAAACGCCATTTATCAATCGTCGTTTGAAAGTTCATAAATCACAAACCCCCTGAAAAAATCCCTTAGCAACTGCACCAGTTACTGCAACACTCCTGATTAACTTCCATTTCTTCAATACGAGCCTTTGTGAATCATAATCTCTACAACCTTAAACATAGCGAATCGATACATCCAACCAAAGAGCAACCAACTTCGAGGTTGCCGACCCAGGGGCAGCCGACTTGGAGGTTGCCGACCCAGGGGCAGCCGATCCTCCTCTAGCAGCGGGTAGACAGGATGAAGAACCTTTACATGTTCAACCAAGAGGTCTCTTACAGGAATTACCAGAAATCCCCTCATCTGACTCAGAAACCTCTGTTAACTTGGTAAACACTCCCACTCCTCATTCCAATTAAAACCTGATGTTCATTTGATATCAAGTACATCTTATTCTCATCCTTTAGGGACCTAGATCTAAACCTCAACGCTCATTGGAAGCAGCCGACGAGTCGGCTATTGGAATACCAAATGACCAGCCCTCCAAACTTATGGCTATTTTGGCTCCTTCAACAACCACCATCCGTCCAGAGGTATGAGCAACCTTCTCACAATCAATTTTCAATATTCATTCTTCATTCAGTATGAGATAAACATCTTTTATTTCAGGGATATTCTGATCTAGCCCTGTTGTCAGCCGTCCCTATTCCGACCGACGTCCGAGCTATAATTGCACAGGCTGTTGACCAATCTTTCCCCGACCTGGGGTCAGATTTGCTGGACAGTCTTCTTCAAGGCATTGGTGGTCTCTTGTTCCAACTGTCTTCAGAGTCGGCTGCTGCCCCTATTCTTCACCCCCTGATGGAGCGATTATCCGAACTCAGAAATGAAGTCCTGTTCGCCCAACTTTTGACAGCTGAGACACCCTTGCCTGATTTTGATCGAATAAGCCTGGAGGCTTCCTTGACCAAAACCAAGGAATCCATTCAACAAGCAGTCAGCCGACTGGAAGGCCTGAACAACGCCAAGGCCCAAATAGAAGGGTCAATCCAGCAGAAAGAAGCAGAGTTGAAGGCGCTCCATCAAGAGAGGTCTGTCCTGGAAGGACATATCAACGATGAGCAACGCCTGATTGATCGGTACCAAAGCAATGCAGCCGACCTAGATCAGGAGTTGAAGATTCACGCCCGATCCTAACTCATAAAGCAGTACCAGTCGGCTGCTAATAACAGGCGACGCTCAAGATCAGAAGACAAATGGTCACAAATAAAACTTGCATTAAGATCTCTTTTGTAATTCTTGACTTGGTAAATAAAATTTTTCTCCTCTTATTGAGGATCGCCTCCCATATTCCCCACTCTTCAGGAACCGAACAAATCATTTCCTTATAAGTATTTGTTGCTCTTGTAAATCATCAAATAAACATTGACTCATAAATCAATCTTGCATATGCCTGCCAAACAATATTAAAATGCCTCCTCACCGTCCTCATGTTCCTGTCAACAATTGGCAAGGTGTCATCCAACTCTTTTTCGTGGGTAACCATCCAGTTGGAGGTCATGCTGAAGACCTGTTATTCCTCCTCAAACAATTGGATGTCAAATTCAGGTTTTCCCAACGAGGCAGAAAAACCATCTATCGTGTCATTCGCCTGATGGAGAACGTGCTAGAAGGGCATGAGACCCTTCGAGATATTCAAAGTCGCCTTCCCGACATCGATCATCACATGGATTTGATTGAACATCATGTGACAGCCATGCTCCCAGACCTTGGCTGGGATCATACTTTCTCTAATCAACGTGTAGTCTTTTCAAGATTACGCACTTTTGTTGACCGTGAACACCAAGCCTTGACAGACATGAAAGCCCGAACTGACTATAATCTTGAGAAAATGCAAGATCAATGGGAGAAGTACCGACCTAGCTTAGAAGACCTTATTGATGAAGACCCAGAAGTAATCCCTAATCACTGGAATGATGATTCTGACTCAGGAGAAAGCAACCCTCGGCACGATTCAACATCTGAAGATGAATGAACCCTTATTAGGTTCGAACCCTTGGCAAATGGGTTCTGAAAACTTACTGTTTCATGCTTTCTTGTAACCTGAAAAGGCAGGAAAATACCTCTTCAGATATCTAGCATTAATACACCATGTACCCTTTTACCTTCTTGATTTATAAAATATAGGCACCATTTCCAATTTCTTTTTGAACTATGAATAGTCCCTCCCAATTCGGAGACCACTTTCCTAATTGATCGACCTTCTTGTAAGTTATCAGAATAGTCTTCCAAATCAAGTCTCCTTCTTTGAATATTCTGTAAAAGATCTTCTTTCCATAGGTCTTGGCCCTGACCTCATTTTGCTTTACAATCTGATCAATTGCATGAAGTTGGTTGACATCCAGACTTTCCAACTGCTGTAACATCATTTGTTGATACTCTTCAGTAAATTCATCATTAGTAAAACTTGTGCGTCCAGATGAAACTTGCACTTCGGCTGGCAACACAGCATCTTGTCCAAAACTTAGTTGATATGGTGAAAACCTTGTGGCAGAACTTCTGTTATTCCTATGTGCCCATAAGGCTCGAGATAATAACAAATGCCATTTCCTTGGGTTCCCCTCGATTGTTTTCTTGATAATCTCAATAATAATCTTGTTAGCTCCTTCCGCCTGCCCATTAGCTTGAGGATAATAAGGCGAGGAATTATTCAACCGAATGCCAAATTCTGCCAAGAAACTCACAAATTTCTCCCCAGTAAAGACCAGACCTTGGTCGGTTGTTAATGAATAAGGTATACCATATCTATAGATGATCTGATTCAGCATAAAATCAATAACCTCCTTCTGATCCACGCTTTTCAAAGCAACTGCCTACACCCATTTGGTAAAATAGTCTGTTGCAACCAAGATAAAACAATGGTTCTTGGATGAGGGAGGATGGATTTTTCCAATGATATCCATAGCCCAAGATTTAAAGGGCCATGGTTTTACCATATCTTGTAACTCTGTGACTGGCGAATGAATTAATTGTCCATGCCTCTGACATTCTTGACAGCCCTTGGCAAATTGTATGCAATCTTAAAAAATCTTTGGCCAAAAGAAACTTAACCTATGTATGGCCCATCTCATGTTCAGACCTGCTCGATGAGCTCCACACACTCCACTGTGTACCTCTGTCATCACCTCCAAAGCCTGTTTGGGACCCAAACACTTCAAAAGCAATTGTCCGAATGTCTTTTATATAACACTCCTTCTACCAATTGAAATCGCAAAGCTTTCAATCGAATTCCAATTGGTACATTTGCTCATGGATTTTGCAAATACATGACAAATTCTGTCCTCCATTTGGTTCCTACGTCAGTCTGCCAGATGATTCCTTCTTCAGTCCTCCGGTCGGCTCCTACTCCAGTCTGCCAGACGGTTCCTTCTTCAATCCTCCAGTCGGCTTCTGTTTCAAACTCAGAGCCGACCTCAGTGCAAATATCTTTCAAAATTCCCTTGCAAGATTTTTGAGCTAAATCATCTGCAAACTGATTCTCCTCTTTAGAAACGAACTCGATTATCACTTCGGAGATCTTTGATAACAAACGACCTACCAAATCCCTGTACCACCGAAGGTGGGGATAATTGCAAACATATTTTGTGTTTACCTGGTTAATCACCAATTGAGAGTCCCCTTTTATAATAACCGACTGAACTTTTCTGGCTATCAAGGCTTCCAATCTCAAGATCAAAGCTTCATATTCTGCTGAATTATGGGTCATATCTTCCAATTGAAGCTGCAAATTGACCTTTTGGCCGTCTGGACCTTCCAATAGGACCCCTGCAGCAGATCTGTTTCCTGAGGTAGAACCATCAAAGAACATTAACCAATTTCGGGTCCTTACATAAGGTATACACCCGGTCGTTTGCTCTTCACAACCTGTGAAGCCTGCCAAAAAATTTGCCACTGCTTGGCCTTTGACCGCCCTCAAGGGAAAATGATACAAATCGAAGTGAGCTAATTTAATGGCCCACTTCATGAGTCTGCCTTGCATTGTAGGCCTTTGCAAAATTAACTTGATGAGATCAAACTTTGAAAAAACCTCAACTCTCCTAGGCAGCATATAATGTTCAAGCTTGGTGCATGCAAACACCAATGAATATCACATCTTCTCTGGCATTGTATAATTCAATTCTGGTCATGTGAGAGTTTTGCTCAAATAATAAATTGCCCTTTCCTTTCCATCATCTCCATCTTGAGCTAACAAGCAACTTACCACTTCATGAGTATTTGCCAAATAAAGTTTGAGGGTCCGACCTTCCTTGGGAGGCATCAACACAGGTGGTTGAGTTAATGCCTGCTTTATAGCTTCCAAAGCCATCTGTTGGTCTGGCCCCCACTCAAAGGGGTTTCCTCATGCCTTCAATAATTTAGTGATTGGCCTGACCTTGCCAGCCGTATTGGAAATGAACCGCCTGAGATAGTTCACTTTCCCCAACAGACTTTGAATCTCTTTAACCGTCTGAGGTGGTCGGCTGGTAAGAATTGCTTTGGCTTTGTTAGCATCGATCTCGATACCCCTCTCATGAACCAAGAACCCCAAAAAACTCCCAGTTGTTATACCGAAAGCACACTTAGTTGAGTTCATTTTCAGTTTGTATCTCTTCATCCGACTGAAAGCATCCTCAAGATCCTTCAAATGTTCCTCAAAACTAGTAGACTTGACAATAACATCATCAATGTAAACTTCTATAGACTTACCAATGAGATTATGAAAAATTGCATTCATGGCCCTCTGATAAGTCGCCCCAGCATTTTTCAAGCCAAAAGGCATAACTGTCCATTCATAAATGCCTAATGCTCCTGGACACCTAAATGCTGTCTTGTGAATATCTTCTTCTGCCAGAAAGATTTGGTTATATCCTGCATAACCATCCATCAAATTGAGAATCCTGTGCCCTAAGAATTGCTTTGGCTTTGTTAGCATCGATCTCGATACCCCTCTCATGAACCAAGAACCCCAAAAAAATCCCAGTTGTTATACCGAAAGCACACTTAGTTGGGTTCATTTTCAATTTGTATATCTTCATCCGATTGAAAGCATCCTCAAGATCCTTCAAATGTTCCTCAAAACTAGAAGACTTGACAATAACATCATCAATGTAGACTTCTATAGACTTACGAATGAGGTCATGAAAAATTGCATTCATGGCCCTCTGATAAGTCGCCCCAACATTTTTCAAGCCAAAAGGCATAACTGTCCATTCATAAATGCCTAATGCTCCTGGACACCTAAATGTTGTCTTGTGAATATCTTCTTCTGCCAGAAAGATTTGGTTATATCCTGCATAACCATCCATCAAACTGAGAATCTTGTGTCCTGTTGCTGAGTCAATTAACATGTCGGCCATAGGCATCACATACTCGTCTTTAGGCGTAGCCATGTTAAGATCTCTGAAATCAATGCATATTCTGATTATACCATTTTTCTTAACCACTGGTACAATGTTGGCCAACCAGTCTGTATAACGGCAAGGTCGGATGAAACCACTTTAAGAAGCTTCTGAATCTCTTCTTTAATCTGAGGCATCAGGTCAGGACTCATACGTCTTGGAAATTGCTTACAGGGCTTGAAATCCTTCTTAATGGGCAATCGATACTCTATCAGACTTCGCTCCAGACCAGGCATTTCTGAATAGTCCCAAGCTAAACATTCAATATTGTTTCTTATAACTTCGAGCATCGATGTTTGTTGCTCTTTAGACAAATAACCACTAATTCTGATTATTTTTGGAACCACGTCGGTTCCTAAGTTAAATTCCAGCAAAGGATATTGTGCTAAAAAAGTTGGCTCTGTTTTTTTTAATAAATCGGGCCAACGAAATTGTTCATCTTCTTGAGAATAAACATTATGTATGTTTTTGACTTTTTCTACTTTTTTCAAAAGCTGATCTAAGTAATACTTATTAATAAGTAAGCTACAATTTTGTAATTCTGTTTCTTGCATAAGGAAAGTATTATATAAAAAGTAGGTCTGGTTTACTTAAGAGCCACATAATACACCTTGTTCTTTTAAAAGAACATTGAATTTTGGCCAATGAATTTAAAACCCTTATTCGGGTAGTCATTAGCCATAAGAAAATGATACATTTGAGGTACATAACCAGAATAGAAAACTGATTCTTCTACTTGTTCTGATGCTCCAAAAGGATTGTCATTTGCCTCCAATGTGAAGACCTGGTTGCCTTCCCAGAATATCAATTGTTGATGCAGTATTGATGGCACACACTTAGATGCATGAATCCAATCTCGTCCAAGCAGGATTGAATAGATGGTATCTGCATCCACCACGAAGAAAACAGACGAAATTTTCTTTGGGCTGACTTCAATGGAGGCGACCAGCATGCATTCTGGTTTGGTCGGTTGCCCTGTAAAGCTAGTCATCTCAAAATCTACAGGAGATAGATCCTGAATCCCCTTCCCCAACTTTTTTAGAGTCTTTAATGGCATTACATTAAAAACGGCCCCATTATCTATGAAAACCTTTGTAATTGGTTTCCCACAAATATGAGCATTAACATACAGGGGCTTCAAATGAGACGCCACACCTTCTGGAATGAGAGGGAAAACTATTGGAGGGACTTCTAATTGAGAGTCAGGGTCTGCAATCTTTGCCCATTCTGGCTCTTCTATAGACTCATCAACAAGACTTGCCCACAGAGGCTCTTCCTCAACCCAATTAATTTCTGTCATTCGGCAGGGGATACGTGGCCCTAGTCGAGATTTGACAGACCTTGAATCTTTCTCTGGAACTTCGTTATCAACCTCAAATTCGGGTTGAACAGTCAAAGACTCCAAACGAAACTCCTCTATTGATGGATTGAAGTTAACCTTCTCACAATGTTGACATCTGAAACCCTTAACTCTTTCATCCGACAAGCCCTTATTTATCTTCTGCATGGACCAACCTCCCTCATTGTACCGGACGCTGGTCGGCTGCTCAGAAGAGGCTCCCCCAATGAACCGACCTTCCTCTGCCTCATTCGGCTACTCAAACGAAACGACCTTGATGGACCGACCTTGCTCAGTATACTTGGCAGTGCCTCGGCTGTCGTTCGATTGCTTTGATGAGGCGACCTTGTCTCTGTATCTCGCAGTATATCTGCGTTTGGCATTCCGAATCTGAGTACGATTCATGCCTGGGAAGCGAGGATCGACATCAATTGGTAGAGGTTTCTTATTTCGAGTCCATTTGCTTCCGACCGCACCCGTCTTCCTGGTCGGGTGGTCCCGAACTACAACTTGGTCCTTTAATTCCACATTAAAAGAACCATCTAGGTTGTCCTATTTTTCAGCCACTGTTTTTTCACAAACCTTGAGTTTCTCCTCTGGTCGGACACTGTTTGATGTGTTCTCTTTTTCCTTTCTGGGAGTTGCTTGTATATTAACCATCGCTGTGGTTACTTTTGGAAATGGTTTCTGCTCCACTCCCAAAGTGATATACTTAAGCCATCCTGCCTTAATAGCTTTTTGGATCTTATTTCGAAAATGGGTGCACTGACTTGTACTGTGTGTGAAGGAATTGTGCCACTTACAATATGGCCTCCCTTTAATTTCTTCCTTGGTGGCCAACCTCTGTCCCTTTGGAATTCGGATCTGACCATCAGTCAATACAATATCAAATATTTCATCAGCCTTTGAACTGTCAAAGGTCGGTTGCCCTTTAGCTTCCGTTCCTGGTGCTGGTTTTAACTTAGAGCATACATAAGGTTTCCCTGAAATTATTTCGGCCACCATCTCTTCTGTTAGATCATAATCAAAGTCGCATACCTCTGTTTCCATACTAGCCATATGTTGACCTTTATTACGCCTGAAATTCTGATCCCTTTCCCTGAAAAGAAATTCTAAGCGTCCAGCCTTGAATGCGAGGCTTGCCAAATCCTCGACATCATGTGCAGTGAGTGCATCTCTTAAGCGACCATGCATGTTTCGGACCACTAAGTTGGTCATCTCTTTTTCACTGATTATAGTAGGACATCGTCCCTTCATTAATCTCACCCTCTCAATAAATTGTGAAGCTGATTCCTCCGGATATTGTCTCATCTCCAAAAAATCAGTCAGAGAAACTGTTGGCAAGGGATTGAAAAATCTAGTATGAAATACTATTTCTAAACCTTCCCAAGTTTGTATTTGCCCAAGTGGAAGACTTACAAAGCATGAAAAAACTGTCCTAGTTAAAGACAATTCAAATAGTTGTAACTTGTAAAAAGGATTGTTACCAATTTCCCCTAACTGTGCTGTAAAAGACCCCACATGCTCTATAGTGGAGGACCCATCCTCTCTAGAAAAAGCATGAAAATCTGGTGGTCTGTAATTTCTTGGGAGAGGATATTTATTGATAATCCTTTCTGGAAAGAGTCGCTGATAAGCAGGTCGGTTGGCCATCTGAGGATTTAGACCAAATTGAACCCTAAATACGTGAGCAATTTCATCACCCTAACGAAACTGTTGATGATCAGGAACATCAATGGGATTTTGCACAGGAATATGAATGGGATCCTACACATGTCCCCCAAGCCTTTCCTCTCTTGTAATGTTCGTTTGCACATTTTCAACCCTTGGTCCCAAAGGAATATTATTTGGGAAAGTCAGAGGAGTCCTTCCCCTATCTGTTCGGTTGAAATTTGTGGCGCTTGGAAGTATGCTGTCCACAAATGATGGCCCTGCAAAATTCGTTTGCATTCTTGATGGTGATACCCCTGGCGGCGTCTGAGTGGGTTGAAGAGTAACCCTTGATAATGCTTCATCTAACATGTTTTGCATAAGACACATTCTGCTGAATTGTTCATTTGCTGAATATAAGACAACCAATCGGTAGGTGGTTGGGGAATCTCCCCTGGATTTGGCATAACTGGTGATGAAACATTTTCTCCCACCGGTGCTGATGATGATTGAGGTTGTGTGCCAGCCATATTGATCCTTCTGATGATTCGGTCCGACCTCAATCGTATGAAATTCTCTGGTAATGTAGGATCAGCAATCTTGCCTTTCTCC